CCTATATTGTACGACAGCGATGAAGCTAAAACACACCTAAAGTACAAACAATCATGCGATAGAGGCAACATAAAGACGTTCTGGATAATACGAAAAAGACCTCATGTGTTTTCAGCTGAAGTTTGCTGATGATTCCGAAAAAAACAAATGTGTTTGAATGAACACCATTTTATGCAAGTAGTAGTTCTTCAAATCACATTTTTGCCTGTATGTGTAGTTTCGAGCCTCTTTGGCCGGCTATGGAGTATTCCAGGACGTCGAGCTGAATGGTTTTCTCAGAAAGTAGCTGTCCCTCCAAACTGGGAAATATCAAATTTAATTTTTTCCTTGTGAAAACTCCAACTCATAGGAGCAAATTAATGTCGCGGCAGAGTCTGGCGTACTCGTTATGACTTTTTACTAGAAGAAAAAGAATGAGAGAAAAAAGTGCTATCGTACTAAAAACGCGATCATCGTAGTCGTATCTTTTAGGTGATTCTGGTACGTGACAGAAAGTAATGGAGTTCATCAATGTTCGCCTGGAGTTCGGCGATAGCAGAAAGACGATTGACAGATCGCACGAACGATGCGTGTGCAAGCGTATAGCTTGGGTGTACTTTATTTATATACATGTGTGTAAGTGTATGATAAATGTGTGTACACTACATTTCTTAGAGCGACGAAAGATACAGCAAAGTTTCAGTAACTGCAGACGTACGACTGGCTAATGATCATTGCCGTCAACCACAACGAATCGCCGACGTCTACCAGTGAAGTGCTTAGTTTTCTCCTCTTTTTGAGTAATCTATAGGAACAAATTCCAAAAAATGATCATGTTCGCCCAATCCCATTCTATAGTGATCGCATTTTACAACAATGACAATGAAACACTAAGCAGTCAGCGCATGTCTCTGTTAAGAACATCTAGATGATTCGAAACGCCCCAGAACTCTGAATCAACAATCGATTGGGATAAAATTCCCATGCTCGATTTTTCAAGAGAGAAAAAACTCGCGCCATTCTCTGGAAATTCCGAACATCTTCCGCATCAATGGACAAAAATTGGGCATTATATTGTAATACATTCAAACATGTTCAACAATCAAACTTATTTTCACTGGTCGAATTGTGAAATACTCTCTGAGCAATCTGTGTCTCGAAAACTTGATTTTCAACAAAAGTAAGCTAATTTACTTCTCTGCAATATTCTAGAATGGCATGAATTCGCAATTAGTTTTCCAAACATAAAAGTCGATGGATACAAAAATTAGGACACAAAGTTTAGTAGAGTAATTGAATGATTTCTGAGCGGCTCGATCTGTTTACGAAAAAAAATCGTAGAATCAGCGTTTCTCAGGCTTTTCAGAATCAATGCTTTTCCGGTGGTCACACTACTAAGTACATAAGGTTTTAATGACATCTAATGATTTATACAAATTTGATAAAGATGAAGAAACTATCAAAATGCTTTAATATTTATCTTTATTAGTACCAGACTTCTCTGGGATGATAGCAGCACTGGCTCGACACATCGGTGGGCCACCGCGAGTCACTGTAAAGGCCAGATATGCATTCAGTCACCTCCAACGATACTTAAGAAGTCGCATGGTGCATTCCTCAGGGATTGATCAACTCCAAGAGATTTTTTTAATTTGTCTATAAGTCTCTTTTTAATTGGATAGTTAGTTTTTACTCAACTTTATTGCACCACAAGCACACCTGTTTGTTTTTCTCTGTTGGCTACTTTTAAAAAAAGTACTGGGTTACAATACCCACGTGTTTTCGCAAAATTTTAGCTAATGTGAAAATCGTTTACATCGGATCTATCGTTGATCACGAGTCTATCACAAAATCAAAGAATTTAACTCTGAATTCCCTCACTAATTCTTTTATAAACATCCGTTAATGGTAGAGAAGAATTTTCAGGGATTATTTCAAATGTGTGGCTTCAGGTCACGCGTGGCGTAGTAGTCATAGGCGCCCTGCAACACAGACATGGAATCGATCCCAGGGCCAATGGCTCAGCAAGCCGTCCATCCCTCTGGGGTCGGCAAATTGGTGCCAGACTTATCTGGGACAATAGCAGCACTGGCCCGATGCTTGATGCATCGGTAGGCCACCGTAAAGGCTAGATATGCATTCAATCACCGCCAAACGATGTTTGATGTGATGTCAACTTAAACCTTGTACAACGTCGCTACAATCACTATGGCACATTGGAAAATTATCTTTAAAAAAACTCTCGTTTCACAAAACTTAAAAAGACCTCATAGGACAGCATTATCTAGTGATCACTGAAATTCTCTATATTCTTGTTGAGCAAGCTCGGGGTGCTACTTCATTCTTTATTCCGCTAAAGCTGACGCTTCGGCAGTACCGCCTAATTCAGGGCTTGGGAACGTATATTGATGTGCAATTTAACAGCGAAATCCTTCAATAATACAAATAGAAAGGTAAAAATCTAAATTTTAATCGCATGATTAACGACTTTTCAAAGCACCGACCATTTTTTACGCGACTTCCGTTGAGGAGGAAGACCTGCAGCGGCATAGAGTCGCATATGATTCACGGGTGCGCTACCCCATCTCAAAAGTCGATTCGAAGATACGGGGCTAGACCTCGTGTGACCTCTGGAGATTCTTCCCTGCTATTCATTCTCGGATTATCTCGGGCTCAACAAGAATATTGATGATTTTTTAATCAATGCCGGAGTTAATAGAAAGTCGGTGTTGTGGATCATAGCAATATTGTTCATCATTACAGGTTAAGATGTAGGTCAACTATTACACGATGAGGACTTCACTTCATTTTGGAAAAATCGTTCATTAAACTCAGTTTTTATCAACCGGAAGTAGCTATTCTGTGTGACATTAACAATTTATTAAGTAACACTCCTGTGTGTAACATGCATCAACTAAAGGCCTCGCCTCTGAGATGGCTACTAAACAAGATCGAATCGAGTTTCGTTCGTTCGTTCGCTTTGTTTTTTCTGCTTCACATTTTGATGTTTTCTAATGACGTGTCTGTGACGATGAATTGTTGTATGCCCAGTAGTGTAGGTGTGTCATTGGTGCTCATCACTGTCCCCTTCATCGCCCCCATCATCGTCCCCATCCTAATCGCCGTCGTCGTCTGATGTCCGAGTAGAATAGTACGACCACGCCCCATTCGATGCTGGCATACACCACCACCGGATTTTCGCACTCTATATAAAGTAGTAGACAGAATCGGAAACGCAACAATCGAACATAGAAATGTTGTTACAAATCTCAACTATAGTCCTTCTGTTTAACTTCGCTCATCTATCCGAAGAATGGGAATCGAATTACTTAACACGAACGCGGTACGTCTATTCATAGAAATGTCTCCATTTCAAATTTCCTTCTTTCTAGTATTCGTTGTCGTTTCGATGTCTTTGTTTTTGTGTTCACGATTATTCTTTCGTGGAAGTACATTAAGAAGTTAACGTTAAGATGCTGGAGTTCCGGTAACGGTCAAAAAGCACGTTGGTGGACGGATGGCAAAATAATCGTCAGAGGTAAGACCGTCGCTGAAATAACTCCGTATAGGATGTGTTTCACTTTATGAATCATAATGCTTTCAAAAAGAAATCTGATAAATTTGTGACTATCGACGAAAGATGAGATCATTTATGAATAATCATTGGTCATTCACATAGGCAAGTACTGGTATCAATGCAGACAAGGTCAACTAGAACCGCGTGGATGTGTAGTTGGAACTAACCAACAGCTGAATATCGGTAGCACCACCATAACCGGCGACTATGTGGCCATATGTGAATTAGGTTAGTCTGTGATTATCAGTACTGTATTGTAATATTGAATGAATACTGTTGACGAAAGAATACAAACAGTGAAGGAGACTGCCCCTACTAACCTTTTCACAACTAGTGAGTGAATTGTTTTAGAAGAGTTGGAACCATTTGCTCATCTTCATACTCGCAGTACCAAAAGATCTATGAAAATTGGATATCGCGATCTTTATATCGCAAAAGAAACAATGATGAAAAAATGGCTTATACGTATGAACCTGAATACTTAGGTAATTAGATGTCTCGTTCTCACTTGTCAAGCTGCCCTCAAAATGTTTCCATTCGTTTCGGTGTCTTGCAGCCGTCATCTACGAGTATGTTCGGCTGCGTACTAAAGATATGGCGTCTTCTCTCCTCGTTGAAACCCTGAATGTTTGTTGAGCATGGTTCTCTTTGGAAACCCAGTGTACCCATCCCGGTGTGTTCTTAGGTTTCCCAGAGGCAGTGGCCATCCCTAATGGTTCGGAAGAAAGTTTTCTACCTTGTGACTTCTGTCAAGGCAATAGTTAACCCTAAACTTAGTCAATTTGACCACTAGAAGACGATCTGACAGTGTCAAAATCAATGCATATAAATTGAAAAAGTTCAAGAGATAAAAAGTATTTTAAGCGAATAACAAGGTATCGGTGATTAATAAGCATCCATCTCTTTGTTTCTCGCAACAAATACTTACTTTGTAAAGTTTTTTTTTACAGAGAGAGAGAGAGAGTGTGGGGAGGGGGTTTCGAAAAAGAGCGTACCTTTGCAATCTTCCGTTTTAGTCGTCTATCTAATACTTCTGTCAGCCTTTTTAGTAATTTACTTCTTGCATTTCGATACACAATCGTTTTCATTAGTTACTCTGGCACGATATGTGTATTAGTAGAACGAATGATTGTCACTTAGAATTAGACGAAATCAAGACGATGTTTCACGGAAGAAATAAAAAGACGAAAACCTTAGGATGAAATTTTAGCTTTGCTACTAATTGTCCATCATTTGGAATTGCATGAGATGCATGTAAAAAGTGAAGGGTAAGTTGAGTCTGGAGCGCGGGGTCAAACCAGCAGGAAGTGGTCTAGTTCACATTGTAGGGCACCTCTAACCGCTGCGCTAAATGCGCCTAGAAGTGTGTGTAAATCACTTGAAAGATTCGTTTAGAAAAGGAAAGTGTCTCAAAGAATAAAATAAAGACTTCTAATCTTAATTCATGAAGAATGAGCTTAATGTGTTTCTTCAATCAGGTCTTGAAAAAGCTTCCATTCTTGATTTAGGGCGGGACGGATATCTACAGTTCCGATACGTTGCTTGTGTCGGTAGCGGAAATCGTCACTACCGAGTCGGAGAGCAATGGGTGGACGAAGAGGTAATAAAGAAAACTCATAGGTATTTTGAAGCGTAGAAATTTATTATTGACCGAGGAAATGAAGCACATCAGTTTTGTTGAATATAATGCTGGGTCAATTGAAGTTAACTTTACGCTAGATTGGATTTATTCTCCTCTTTTCTCTTTAACTCACATTCCCTTTCCAATACCTCTCTTCACGCTCATTTAAAAGTTAAAAAGATCTTGAAGGAAAATTTTGATAATAAATTGTAACTACAGTATAGAAAACAGTTCTGCTAGAACAGAAGCGATCGCCGCAACACGGCGTGCGAACATCGTGTTGTGTCGAGTACGGTTGATTGGTTCCTTAATGAATACACCTATATTTATCGTCCCATTAGTTAAACCAAGTACATAAAAATATGGTTGGTTTATTAAAAAAAAAAGGCCAACAGTTTCACCTATATGACATTTCCATCGGAAATCGAAATAAGATAAATTTTGTTTTTTCCTCTTGCTAAACTGCCAATGAATAGTTCGGATCCAATCGTTGCAAAATTGGCTAAACGAAAAGAAATTTACAATGTTTACTTTTTCTTTTCTGCCTTCTATTATTTTTATGGCAGGGTATTAAGCGAAATACAACCACAAGATTGCTGAGGTATTTGCAAAACTCCGGACCGCAGGTGTCTGCGGTAGGGAACGAACGAGCTATTGTCCTTTCCGAGGAGGACAATAGCGCGTTCGTTCCCCACCACAGACACCTGCGGTCCGGAGTTTTGCAAATATCTCAGCAATCTCGCGGTTGAAAAGAAATTTGATTGATAAGTAGAGTAGGTGCGTTACTTGTTCTACGAGTGCAAAAAATGAAACAGTAAAGATCATCCGCAGTTGCGGATAGAACACATGACAGTCGTGTTGAACGGTGGAATACATCGGCCCAGTTTGTCGAAGTAGTTCATCATTTTTCGCTATTATGAAAACATTATGGGGAGTAGAACAATTACTGCATACATCTTTGTATGTATATATAACGTGGAAGTCATGAATATAATTGATCAAGTAAACACTGTACCTGATGGTGTCACTGCAGATGAAATCGCCAAGCAGTACTGTTACTCTGTAGTGAATTCTTGAAATATTCGAAAATCCGGGAAAAAAAGCAGTTCAGAGCGGATTCTACCATTTAGTGCATTCGGTTTCTCGGTTCCTCTTTAGTGAAAGATTCTTTGCAAATTAGTTGTTAGGCATGGAATTTCTCTACTTGACGGGTAGGTTGTTAAACGAGGATAAAAGGCGATCTGGTACTTGCCCGAAGTGGCAGGTAGACTGGAAACTAGGCTCATTTCGGAGCACCATGCCGCAGTAATATATATTTTATGCATACATGTATAGCCTCAATTTGCCTCAAAGCTTGCAACCAATTGTATAGGAAGTGGACAGGAGGTGGTAAAGGTGTCACTCCAACGAATAGGTTCTTCACTTTATTAGGAACCGGAAAGCTACTCGTGATATACCCAGTTCCTAGGCAAGATCTCTGCAAACCAGCCGTGGTGTTAATCTCAATAAGCAGTAAATAAAGTGCCATTCACTTGGCCTTCCATGAGAGCCTCCGATACTGTATGGTTAGGTGGGACCAGTACGGAGAGAGTGCTATAATTCAACGGTCGTTCTAGGGTGCTCAAATCTGGAAGAACTAAGGCGATGATAAGTACTTATGACGCATGCTCAACAAAGTTTTAATCCTGCATGAAGCACTTAATGATATAAGCTAAGAAGTCTCCAGCCACTGCTCCCTTCTCGCCGTCTATGATTTCGTAGAAGGACATTTCTTCTAACCTTTAACATTAGAAAATTCGATAGCTTTGGCATCTTTGTGAATATAGGTATGCCGACAAACACCTATAAGGATTTAACGTACCGAATAAGACGTTTACGGGTAAAAAGTTGCAGACCAGTTGCATTCTCCGACGTCTGCATGCTTACATAAAACTATGATGAAATTGAGATGACGGTATATACGGACACAAGAAGTTGTACTCAGAATACAATACATTCTGTGAAAGCGTCATTCTAGACATCAACGAAGGACCGGCTCCAAAGCTTTTGAAAAGCATCATACTGTGATACTTACGCATCGAAATGGAGCAGAAATTGTGGAGAACTTTCTGGGTTTATCATGATGACTGAGGCAATACTTAAAGTGGAGAGAACGAGCAACATAAGAAGATTAATAGAGCAACGAGGAGGAAGTAAAGAGGACAAAGAACAGGAGGCTACGAGAACACATGTCCCACTCTGCTATTGTATGCGCCCTAACGTACGCCTGGCAAACCTAGTTGGTACATAGTTGGTGGCTAAATGCGCACTCAATGTTATCAAATTTGAGATCGAATAGGTGGTTCTGAGACTATGCCGTATCATGTAGGTAAGGAAATCTGAGTTTGTCACCTATGTCAACGATGACGAAGGCCATTGTTTACGTTGTTTTCGACAACTAAGTGGTGTCTTGACGAAGACTTAAATTCAGAATCAATTAGCAACATAGTCTCACAGAATATCAACAGTAAAGGAAGAAGACCACTGTGTTTTGATCAGGCCCTGAAAAACCTATGAAAAGAATATAATACTCTTTGAGTCCTCAGAAGGAGCATAAACAACTCGGTAACTTTGAGTGTGAGAGGGACATGTAAAGAGTTGTTTGCTTTTCTGAAGATGTAATTTATAACACGGCATTAAAAATCTACCGTTAAAAATAAACAGTGTCTATGTAGACCAAGGCTAAAGAATTACTACGTGTGGAATCAGCTGCTGGATAAAAGTTTTTAAAGCAAATTCTCGCATAGCACTTCTATCCGAAGTTCACGAGCAAACACCGTTTTGGTTTCATCTTACCTCAGCGAATTGGCATTAAGTCGTTAGTAAGCGGCTAACTAACCGGCACTAAGAAAATATTTACTTGTTGATTAATAACTTTTATAGTTAACAATACAAAGTAGTCTGCATTTTCACTATTACGATATTATTTCTAGTGGCCATTTCCTTTTAGAACACCTACTACTATGAATGCGAGAAAGACGGACCGTATCTGAAGGGCAAATTAAAGGGCTGTATATCACATGACAAGCAACGAAAAGTCGCTATCGGACAGCAAGATGACTATGGAGAATACACGTGGGTAGTTTATATAGGGAGAGGGATAGAGTGTGGACGAGCTATGTACTCTCTCCATTCGTAATGTCGTGGAGCTGACATAATGCTTATATCATGGCTTGTAGGAGTCCACCTGCATATTAACTCAGTGTTTTTATTCTTCTAGATAAATGTAGCACCAATACCAGAAAGGCTGGAGGAAATATTTGTTCCCTTGACAGAGAATCGAACTTATGGACAAGTATGCATTGCGGGGCACTTTTAACCAATGCACTACACGCGCCCCACTTTGGATATACATGGAAGTTTTAAAAGTGACACAGTGTGCTCCCATTTTTCGAATATTTCATTAACTTAATGTGACGAAACCGTGAAGGACTGTGATAGAGTACTGATATTAGGTCTCTCATTAAATACAAATTGTTTAACCACTTAAACGAAGACCTATCAAAACTTTTGATACAGCGTATATATTCGATTATGTCGATGTCTTACTTCTAATTTGTAATTGTAATATAAAAACAAAGGACGAACTATTTGGCGTCGATCAATCTCTGAGGGATACGCGAACCAGTTGACTTCATTAAGCATCTTTAAACGTCAAGGAATTCATATCTGACCTAAGCACTCGCTTGCGGTGGCCTACCGTTTCATCAAGTCAGTCCTGCTGTTCTCCCAGACAAGTATGCTACACATTTTTTGACTCCGGTGGGCTGAAGAACTTGGTGAACTCGGGCATGAGATCGAACCAACGACCACGTTTATATTGCAGGACGCTTTTAGCACTTTGTTACACTCACCCTTGTAATATAAGAATGGACAAATGTTATAAAACGAATCCTCAAAATCCTCGATAGAAAATGCTTTAGGTACGAATGTCGCGAAAACTATAACGGAACAATTCAGATGTGTAGTGTCGGTTGCATTCATAATGGGAAACATTACAAAGTCGGAGAACAATGGCCGGTAAGCAATAAAACAATGGTTCTCTCAGGATAAACATGACCAGTACATAAAAGAAAACAAGGCTTGGTTGTTCTTTTTTTCCGCAGTAGTAATGGTCGCTGTACAATCGGTTTCATACTGTGACCTTCTATTCAGTGTTCAGGATAGAGAATTCCTGTTCTACTGTAGAATGAGTGGTGGACGAAGTCAAAAGGTGTGTATCGGTTGCCTATATCGTCAGAAGCGGCTGTATGACGGTGATCGCTACCATGAAGATGCTTCTGTGTTTCAGTGCGAGGTAAGAACTAGTCGAGAAGTTTAACTCTATTAGTCAAATATCAGTTATCGTTTGCAATAGGTACTAATCACTCATTCACTTTCCCACACGAATAAATATCAGCCACAAATAAACTTAGTTCAAATTAACGTACTTTGAGAAGTAACACATTTGGAGACGAGAAGTGACACATCTGGAGATTTCTCAAGGAGTGGTAGTTGTCTGTTGTGACTTGTTTTCGATATGAGTATTCCGCTACAGAACTCTGTCTACACTTATATTATAGATACGTCAGGATTCCTACGGACATAAACCTGTGGCATGTCTTTCCAAAGAACTCGACGGATCCACGGTTGAGAGAGTTATCGGCTGTCGATGGTAAATTTTCAATCTGATATTCCTTAAGACCTTTATGGCTTCTGAGCTTTTACGATGTACACACGAAAACCTTATAGCTTTTACAAAATGGAGACGACAAGTCCTAGTTACTTTCATAATTTCAAAGGAATTATTCGTAACTAATCCTACCGCATAATAGTACGAGATGACTGTAAACCACTGGAATAAATTAACAGTTAACAATCGCCGGAACAGCTAAGTTTAAGCTTTCCAGGTACCTACAGGATTCGAAGTCAAAAATAGAGCAAACATGTGAGCTGAATGGATCGAAGACGCACGTTCGAACAATCGGATGCATATATAGGCATAACGTGTGTCAAGTTTATACGCTTCACATTGATCTCTCAGATTCTGAATTTCCGCTATATCATTTACTTCAGGGATATGACACAATTTTCTTGTCACCTGGTCGATACACTATATGGAATCTGCCTTACCATCAGAAGACATCAATCGGACTAGCATGTTTGGTATGTCTCATACGAATACAAAAGTAGTGTGATGACTGGTAGTACGTTAATGGGCGTATCATCCATATCACCTCACCTACATCTTCCTCTTTTTATCGCGTGTAAGGGCAGCAGACTGGCTTCTGCTTGCTTTAGGAAATCGCTGATGATCGTACCTTCCTTTCAGAGATTTTCGTGAAGAACTCCTACTATCACGTGGGCAATCTTCTTGCTATGCGCTTAACATCCCAAGGAATCCATTTACTATCAGCTCTGTCCATTGGTTGTGGTTCATATGCATAACGTGTCCGGCCCACCTTATCTTTAACTGTTTGGCGTACAAAATTGGCATCTTTCATTTTTGATCTCTGACGCAGGTCGGAGCTTTGGATACCTTCCCTTACTTGTATAACACAGGATACTCCTAGCTTGTCCTTTCAACTGCGCCTTCAATAGCGCTTGGTGACCTTTCGTTCTGCTTACGCAGCGACCAGATTTCTAACGCATATGTCAAGGCAGGAAGTACCGTTGAGTCGAAAAGGTGCGCCCGAAATCGGGCGTTCTTTGTTCTCTTCACTACCTACTTGATGCTCTGGAAAGCTCCCTAAGCCGCTCATTTCCTTCTGCTCAAATCCGGAGCTAAGCCGTTCACCATGTTGATTTCCCGGTCTGGATAGACGTAACTGGAGCATTCAGAGATATTTGTACCGTTGAGAGTGAATGGGGCATACGTAACCAATCCGTTCCTCACGAACTCTGTTTTTGTGAGATTTAGTCGAAGATCAATCTTGCCACAGTCTTTAAGTCGGCCAGCAATCGTTCGGCTTTACTAATGTTTGGTGTTATAAGGACGATGTCATCAACAACGCGGATATGATGTAATTGCCGACCATCAATCTTCACTCCCATGTTGTCCCATTCCAATATTCGCATGACTTTCTCGAGGGTGGCGGTAAATAATTTTGGCGGAATAATATCGCTTTGCCTAACCCCTCTTTTGACATCGATGTTAATGTCGTTGTGGAATTGTCTTATTTCGTTCGAAAAATTTTTGTATAGCTCTAAAGAGTCTTTGTATGCTGAGTAAGGTGGGCTGAATCCTTTTCAAAACTCTGTTTGTTCACATGGCTGCCATTTGTCAGGTGTTCCGCCAAGCCCGATAAGGAAGAGTCGAGTGAAGGGTTTGTAGATGGTAGACGGCAAGCAGATTGTACGATTGTTGCCGATATCGTGAAAATCACCCAATCTTGAACGATAACAAAGTATTGCTGGTATTCGACGGTATAGTAACCTTGCATTCTGGTAGGTAACGTGTGAAGAGTAGAATCAGTGTCTTTATAAGGATTGACGGAAGGTTCCCCAGGAGTTCAGGTTTTTTCCTGGCCGGACCTGGCGTTGTTCTATACTTCACCGAGAAATGTCAAATCATATGTGGGAAGAGAGAACCGGTGGTACGATATATCAATCGTCCTTTATTTTATATGAGGGAAGGATGACAAGGCTATCGATGAGATCTGAGTAGTGTTCGTGAATGATTTTCTCTGCTGGCTTTCTGGACGTTGTGAAAGTTCCGTCTGGGCGTCGGACTTAAATCATCTTGGTTTTGTAACTGACGAATTGTTGGTCGGTATTCTTTGCAAATGGTTTTCCCAGCATCTACGGCTTCGACCATTACTGCTGCTCCTCTCTCTTTAAAATCTTCTTATCGCCTGTCTGCATTGTTTGCAAGTTCGGACATGAGCTAGCAATTGCCTGCAGCTCGTGTGATTCAACGCTAGCGGATCAGCTGGAATGCTTCTAGAGACAGACGTCTCTTGGTGAGTTTCGAACTGTCAGCTTTCCAAGCGCTAACGTGAAGTTGTTGAATGAGCCGATCTTATTCCTCTTCGATGTTATCGAGAACGGCATCTTGCCAACAGCCGACTAATGAATTGGATAAATCCTAGTTAATGGTAGTTCTGGGACTTCGGTTTTTGTATTCAGCGGCTTTTTCTCCTTTCCGCCAAAAATAGAATCTTGGATGAAGTAGACGGTGGTCTGATCCCGTGTAGAATTTTGGGACAACAGCGAAATCAGTTAGGCAAAACTTTCCATTTATTATGATGTGGTCCACTTCGTTATGGTACTCTCCATTGGGTGATTCCCACGTCCAGCATTGAGGGCGGGGCTTCTGGAATTGCGAGTTACCATGGATTGTCTTGGTCGCCATGATAAACTCAGACAGCCGCTCACCCTGTTCGTTCCATTCTAATCCGTGGGTCCCAATGTGACGTTCTTCAGACGTTCTTTTTGCTCCAATCTTGGCGTTGAATTCTCCAATGATGACCTTGAAAAATGTGTGGTCTTCTTTGTAGGACTTCTCGAAGTCCATTCAGAACGCTTCGACTTCTTCTTCGTCACAGTTTGATGTCGGTGCGTAAACGGCGAAGATTGTCAAAGCCGGAATTGATCCACATCTCTTCAATCGTAGACGTCCAAATGGGATTACTTGTTGTTCGAATGAATCGAAGTTCACGGTCAAACTCGTGTTGACGAGAACACTGACGCCGCCAACTCCTCTACTGTCCCATGTTCCCAGAAACAGTCCTTCTCCGGTGTCATATACAGCGTTGAAAGGATGGTGTTTTCTTGTCTCAGCCAGTCCGATAACATCGTGCCCTATCGTTCTTGCCTGCATGATCAAGCACTGTATCCATGAATCAGATGCAAATGTGTGTGCATTGTAGGTAGAGATAGTCACCTTCGTACTTCGAGATTTAGGCAGCCTAGAATGGCCTTGCGATTTTAGTAGTCTCTCGCCCTTCGTACTCGCCCTACCTAATGCCACTATATCGAGGGCTCGTTGAGATGACTCAGGGGAATGAAACACGTTAATTTTAGTGTGTTTAGCGTTTGATACTCAGATATAGCTTGCCGAGCTCTGAATGTGGGGGCTGAATACACTCATGGGTAGCTTGCCATTCTCTCTCAAAGTAGACGGGATCTTATTCGTTGGAGGCTACTCGTAGGCGCCTCCTACATACTTCCCTCTCACGTGATTGGAGGCTTTTGGCCGAATTGACTAGTAGAATATAATCCGTAGAAACGATAACACACTATCGCATGCATGCATGAATACGTCCTCGTAAATATGGAAGATATTGTCAAATCTGCACAGCAGAAACAGGGAGTCTATCTCCTCCTGCTTCTCAAGGAAACAGAGGTCCCTTTTGCTCCGCGATTAACCCTCTATCCGCCACTTGGTGGCGCGTCACGGTGCCTCGCGACTAACTGGCATGAGATCGCTCTGCGAGGGAGATCTGTGGCTGATGGTCGTGTCGTTTTTTCTTATAGTGAATAAGAAACTTATCAACGTACCGCTTTAATAGAAAGGATAAAAGGATAAACGGTTTGAAATTAGGGGTTTGACGAATAGCATAAGGTGCATCATGCATTCGACTCCATTCGTAGCCTGTTAGAGGTAATGGAATGCTGGTTTACTTATGCAGTGGCTTACGAAGCGTGATGTAGAGCATCAGTGTTTTCATCTTCAAAGACGCCCTTAGAACTAATTTATCAACGCAAGGTGATCCATAAGAGTGATTTCGTTAGGGCGAAGTGTGGAACCAACAACCCAGCGTGCACTGCAGAGAAAATATAGCCACAGCAGTTTGAAGAAATACACGATGGTTATGCTATGCTGAAAAAGTGATTCATATAAAAGATGAGCGAAAATTGAGTGATCCTATCAAGATTCTGAATATCCGGGGCGCGGGTTGCGCTGTTTTTGGAATTTGCTCTTCACCGCACACTGAATCGATCGCTGGTTCAATCCCCCCACCTCAATAGTCGCCAAGCATTCCACCTTTTATAGGTCGGAGAATTGCAAATAAACATGTCTGGAAGGATGGCATCAGTGACTCGATACATCGATATACCACCCCGAGTCATTGTATGGGCCAGGTGTCCATCCATTCATCTATAATGACGCTTCATAAAGTGGTTTGCATGGCGCATCCTTTAGGGATTTTTCAACACCGAAAGTTCCATCTTCTGCCTTTTATCGAAATATCCACTCCTTAGTTTCCTCCTTATACTAACCCAAAGACCACATATTAGTGAAACGGCTACGAAACTCACTATTCATTCTTTATTCGCAAGAGATGAACCATAAAAATGTAGTTTGATGAACGAAGAATTCTGTTCTACTGTGCATTCAGCATACTAAACCTTTGAGTTAATAAAATAACGTAAGTTTCATGTTTCTACTGACTAAGTATCGTACAATAACTTAAGGATAAGTGTTGGTATAGATTATGAACACTTTAACTTTTAGGAAACTCCCGATGGAGCAAAACTCGATGTTTTCGACGTCTCCCAAATGTCGTACTACACTAAAGGGCTGGTTTACGATCAACCTCGAGGAAAATAGCTTTATATGAAGGAACGATACACTTAGTAGCATTTTCTTTTAATCTACATACATTTGAGCCGGAAATAGGTGGCCAAATCAAAAACATATGTTAGCATTTATTACATGGAGATTAGAATTTATGGTAATTAGGCGTTTAACTGTGAAAAATGCCTCTTCAAGAGAAAACCGTGATGATTTCAACTGCCTCTTAGTCGCTCATCTTCTGCAATCACACTGTATACTATTGAAACCATAGAAAAGTTATTATTCACTGGCTTCACGGTATCGTGTTGATAAGTAAACAGACGTTCATCTTCGTAATTTTTTCTTACCCAGTCACCTTCATATCTCTTCTTTATAGTTTCCGTTTAATCCTTTCTTTTATTGTTATACCTAGACCAGGTGTAAATACGCATTGAATCATTCGTGTTATTTTACCTTATTCCAATAGTAATGAATTATTTTGTAATTTTCTTCTTCAATATGGAGGAAAAATGAGACCTCCTGAGATCAACCTCTGAGCAAAGCAATCTACCATGCATTGGACTTCATACAAAATCTTGTGAAGGCAGTAGGTTGCAAACATAATATATACAATAAATTGCTGTGCCCTACCAATGTGTCCAGTGTTTTAATACTCCTAGCCAAACCTGATACCAATTTTTCAATCCAGAAGGTAAGGAGAGGTTGATTAGTCCAAATAATGTTCATGCGTAAGGTCGTGTTGACGAGAACACCAAGACTGCCGACTCTGTTGTGGCATGTTGCGAGGAGCACTTCTTCTCCGGTATCATAAATGATGTTGAATGGGCTACCTCTTCTCGTCGCGGCCGGTCCGTACCTTGTCCTTCTTGCCTCGATGCTCAGGTCCTCTGTAGAGGTCTCATATACAGGTGAGCATACATTATAGGCACACATTGTCACATTAGCACATCTAGATCTAGGCAGCACAGAATGTCGCTGCGATTTTAGCAACCTCTCCGTACTCGTGCTACCCAGTGCTGCCATACCGAGGCTCTTTCGGAGTCAGGCGATTGGAGCCCACTTATTTTATTGTTTAACACTTGATACGCACATAAAGCCTGCTGTGCTCTGAACGTGAGGGCTGGGTATAGCCCCGTGTAGCTTGCTAATCTCTCCGAGTAGACAGGGAGCCTAATTGCTGTAGCGATTCCTAACCACTTCCTATGTAGTTCCCTCTCACTTGATTGCAGGCTTTTGGTGAAATCCACTCGCAGAATATAATCCGTGTAAACGAAGATACGACCAGGCACACATGCATAAATGCGTCCTCGTAAGTACGGAAAGCATGTTCCAAATCGGTGCAGCAAAAACAGTGAGTCCATCTCCTGAATCCATCTGCGTCACGGAGAAGCATAAGGTAGCTTTTCGTCCGCGATTAACCCCTAGTCTCCACTTGACGAGATGTCATTTTGCTTCGCAATTAACTGCCATGAACTCCTTTTGCAAGAGATCTGTGATGATTGCCTAACGTTATTGCTAAGGACGATTTTGCTCTCAACAAAGGAATTTTCTTGCTGCGTCGAAATAGAGAAGCGCAAAGCATGCACGAGCCAGACACTCTCATCGCTCATAGTACGCCTTACTTAGACATCGTAGCAGTCCACGTGACCATGATTTTTCGGATGCTGAATCGAAAAAACAAATTCTTCACTACTACACGTGACTTGGTGCCTTCTCTTAAGACTGATTCTTTGATCTGGGCGAGTTTCACTTGTTTTTCAAGTTGAAAACCACACCGGTACTCTCAGAATTCAAGAAACGGAGACGATAAGTAGTTTTCTTCAACGGATTGACATTCATTTATATGATAGCTACTCATTGATAGTACATAGAATTCACCGAATTTTGTGAACAGGGTTACACAGCGCACAATTACTCTTCAAAAAAGGCGAAGCGGCTGAAACGTCAGTCGATAGGTTTCAGGAACACTTAATAAAAACATTGCATTGGCAATTCATAGAATTTAAATAGGTTGCAGTATAATCATTACAAATCTCCCAAGGCAAATACACCAAGCCAATACTTTATCTTTATTAAACCAACGCGCTGCAATTCAATAACTACCTAACACAGATATGAGCAATGCTTTGTTCACCTAGCAAACTAAGTGAAAACTTTGTTAGAAGTACTCTTCCATGCCTTATGTACGATTGTGCAGGTTTTTTTTTTACTGCCTCGTCCCTTCTTGACATTATCTCATCACATTGCTAACCTTTTTTTATTTGTTGCCTAATACAATTTTTTATGGAAGGGTACTATGTGAAATACAACCATAGTGATGTTGAGATGTTTGTAAAACACTATATAGCAGGTGTCAGGATCGAACCTGCTTTTACTCTTTCCGGCTTCTAACGTGTACCACCACCACACCATGCCGTTCTTCCGTTTCGCATGTCTCTCAGCTAGTTTTCTTATCTATACCTTTTTATTATCTTGTCAGTAAAAACAATCTGCTTAATGAGATTTATCACATGCACATCTTTTACTTCAGTGTCACTAATCGCATGACATATCAAATGCTAGAATAATTTATTCAGCCGATTCAAAGAATTTCGCTTCTATTTCTGCACCGGAGGTGGGTTTGGAGGACACAAGTGGTCTCGTGTCTCCAGCACTCAAATAAACTGTTCTTCTTCGGCAAATTTGAATATTCCCTCCTAGGCTGATTACAACGTGGTCGATAAGGGTAGCAGAACAGTAGGTAATGCAAAAGTGGGCTTAGCTTGTAGACCATTTTGAGTTATACGGCACATACACCCTAATTCTACAATATTTTATACTCTTTAGTAGATATTCACCTATTAACATGAATAAGTATTACTTTCCCAATACAACGGTTTTTTGACAAAAATATATCAAACGGGAACTCTTGTTCCTTCAAACGAAAGGCTTCTCGACTTTAATCGGAAACTGCAAATAGTGTCGTCTTGACCACACTATGAAGACGAACACACCCCAGGAATAACACGATTCGAATTATCGAAGCTCTGAAGAAGGCGATGGTGCCAGTGTGCAACCCACAATGGTAATCCTTTCTAACGTCCTGCAGATCGGTCAAAACAACAAGATGCGACATCGTTATCGTCCTTAACATAGCTATCTTTAAATCTATGGCAACTGAAACAAACATGCTACATGTAATTTAATAGTTCTTATATTAACTCTCCACCCAACAGTTTACCGCCTTATTGTGGCTGGGAAGTGTTCCTGGGTGTCGGACTGCGATGTACAGCGGAGAGACTCATCCCGTCGACAGGATCTCCCAAGTTGAAAAGGAGTCCGGCATTCCCATTAGGAAGCCTAGCTAAGAGTAAACCAATACCAGGATCCAACACCGTCTTGGTATCAAAGTCGCATGATGATAAATCTCCCTCTAATCTAATAGGGCTGCGATTGCCTGTCGTGGTGACGACTTGCGGCAGGGTTTAGCCGGTATGTCCTCGACATTCCAGGGAACCACAATGGCTTAACCAGAAAATCTTGAAAAAATGGTGATTATGTTGGGCCCACACAACTAGCGATGAGAGGCCGTTCAAGTATCAATTAAATAAGTATATTAGCTTTGCAACAACATGATACTACAGCATATAACACTTGGTAGAACATCAATGAAAGCACCCATTTTCCATAAATTACTGAAACATCGAGACGATCAAACTGACAGTGACGTACTTGATGTTTTTTCCTTTACTGACATTTCTTCTCTCAATTTCTCATTCCGTTCACATTCCTGAAACACGAATTTCACGTCCTCGCTGAAATCAACAATATCTATGAGGTTAGTGGAAGAAAAACCTCTGTGGGTAGCAATTTTATAAGAAAACTCTATTAAAACATTTATGTCTATTCCAAATTTCTGGGTTCGTCTATACATGCACCGGTGTATATATACGTACCGTTCCCATGGATATTTATTATCATTTTGCTTTAAGAGTTCAACTATGAGCACATCACACCGGAAGCGACTCGAAATATCAAAAAAGGATGGACAAGCAGAATGTTTTTGAACCCATAATGTGTAGATATTTTGAAAAGTTTCGGAGATAAATCTTCATGAGGAAGAAAACCGAGGGCGTACATCTGGAACTGACAACGACTATCTGAGGACAGAAATGAAAGCTAATACTCCAAAAATATTCTAAACTTTTCAGAAGAACTCATCGTTTCCCAGCAAATAATAATCGACTGTCATTGCGAAGATATTGGGAAGCTGAAGAAGCTTCATAAATAGGGTGCTACTTGAAGTGGACGAAGGATTAAGAGCTCGTCGTTGTAAAGTCTTCTCTATAGTTCCCTTGACCAACAAAAAAAAAACAAATTCTCGACCACACTGTAACGTGTGATGGAAAACAATTGTACATAGTAGTTGATGACATCTAGCACAGCGCTTGGACTGAAACACTTCAGCATTTCCCAAAGCCAAATTTGCACCAAGATGTTAATGTGGCTGTTTAGTAACTAGTAACCGGATGAATCCATGACAACTTTCTGAATCTTCGCTAAATAAAACCGATAAATGAAGAAAACATGGAAAAGTTTGAAAATAACCAAGATTCTTATGTGCAACAGGGAAACTCCCACTAGATAGATTAGTCCAGTTTGGAAGTTCATAGATTTCTTTTTCTCATTCTAATTGACACTTTACCTTCGCTGGTGTTCAGTTTCTTCTGGCTTCTCGTTGATTCACAAGAGATGTTGTGACTTGCTATCTTCTAAACCCCACAGAAAATGCCCATATAATGTTGTGCATTTGGGAATGCTCTAGTCCGGCCACCACAGGACTCCAGGGAGAAACGATGCGACCAACATTCAACAACACTCATAAAAATGACACCAACTCTTAAGCAGCAGCCGAATCTACATGGGAAAAGTTCCGAGATCTTCGTGGATAACGGATGCCAGGAATTGAATCAAATGCAAGAAGTGTTTGGATCGGCATAGTAGATGCGAAGACGGACTGTATAAAAAATAAGTATTATGCACAGCTCTCTCGC